CCTATATCACAAGATCAACAATGAAGACAACACAATGAACAGAAACAATGTAACACAAGAGAGTAGTAGGTCAGACTCAAACTCAACAAGAAGCAACAACGATAATCTAGCCAATGCTATAAAGGAAAAAGTCTCTGGCTATATATTAAGAAAGGTAGACAAAGAAATAGATCATCTAATAAGACTAGAAGAAAGTGTAAACAATACTCCTGCTGAAACATACAACTATGGATACTATGACTATCCCTCTATTCCTACTCATAGTCAACAAGACATTTACTATAGCAGTCAGCAGCAGAGTTACCATTACCCCTATTATCAACACGATAACTGGTCATACAACCATCACTACTATCCTGATTGTAATGAATATCAAGAATATCAAGAATATAGTAATAATAGCAACCTCATAACAGTACAATTAGAACAAGAAACAGGAAATATTGATAAAGGAAGGAACCATTCACAACAACAGAACGAAAGAATCAACAAGCACAAACTCAAAACAACTCAGAACTCCACACATGATCATAATATACAAACAGCCCGTCATTCAGAAACTCTACAGTGTGGTTTTACAGGATTTAACAAGTACAACGCTCTACATACCGAGGGACAACCGATTTTTTACAGAGACCAAAGCAAAAATCAGAAAACAAATTTAGAACATTTTTTATACCAAAAAAGCCTCAGACAGCCGCCATTCTGATAAAAAGTAGGGAAGATGAAAAGACAGATGTAAATAGTAGACAGTGCCTGAATGTTTTATCTTTTAACTGTAAAAATGTAAATACTTGCGGACTATTATTTAATGATGTAAATAAAATTGCGGATATATGTTTGCTACAGGAAACATGGCTATTTAGCTGTCAAATGGATATGCTTAATGAATTGAACCAAGAATATATTGGAATTGGTAAAGCCGTCGACTCAAAAGATCCAATCCCACCAACACATATGCCTAGAGGTCACGGAGGTGTCGCAATCATGTGGAAAAAACAACTTGATAGTTATATCACACAACTTCCAGATGGGAACGAGCGTATACAATGCATTGAATTCAGGGGAGCAGAACCACTTCTAATCATTTCAGTATATCTGCCTTGTAAGGGGTCATCAGACTGTATAGAAGAATTTCAGGAGTGTATAGATCTATTACACGAAATATACTCAAAATTTAAAGATACTCACATCATACTACTTGGAGGAGATCTAAATGAAAATGCAAACCAATTTTCTAATAGTAAAAGATCAAAACATCTTCAGGAATTTATGAAAGAACATAATCTTTTAACTAAAGACCTAGGTCCGACCTTTATACACCCAAATGGTTGCGACTCGACTTGCATTGACTTCTTCTTATATAGCGAAAATTTCAGCAGGAGTATTGTTAAAATCATCAAGCTTGAAAACATACCTGGAAACATCTCAGACCACTACCCTATCGTAGCAAGAATTAAATATGACTATTGTATACATAATAAACCTAACAAAAGGGTATGTCCGACTCCGAAAATCAACTGGGACAAAGTAGATATTGAGAAATATAATTCAACAATAGAAAGTGGCATATTAGAATTGAACAAAAACCTCCAATCTATACAAGATATTGAACTTGCTTATATAGACTTAAATCAACTATTATCTAAGGCGGCATCAACTTTAGGACCAACCAGACGAATAAGGAAGAAGAAACCAAAACTACAAGTAATGACACCAGAAATTCGTAAAGCTATAACTGACAAGAAAAATGCATACTTTGATTGGAAACAGAACAACCGACCTAATGATCCCAATAATCAGTGGTTACAGAAGAAAAAAGTAACAACTTGTAACCTAAGAAAAGAGTGCAGGTTAACACTAGCAAAACAACAGCTAGAAAGGAAAACTGAACTGATTAATGCTAAAAGTAACAACTCCAATTTATTTTTCAAACTTATCCGACGTCAAAGAGGAAGATCTAGTATGCATATTGATGAGCTAAATGTAAACGGACAAAAATACAACACTGAAGGGGAATCTTGGAGGGCTTTAGAGAACACTTTGCAAATCTAGCTGAACAAAGTGATAATAGTCAATTCGACCAAACATATATTGAACAGGTAGACAACGAATATGCTACTATTATAGATATATGTAAACATGACTTCAAGCACATTCCAGTGAAGAAGCAAGAGGTCAAGGATGCCATTAAAAGCCTTAATCGAAACAAATCCCCAGATACCTATGGAGTCACTGCTGAAAATTTAATTCATGGTGGAGAAATACTTGCCTCATATATACAAACTCTACTAAACAGCTCCTTTAAATTCTGCTTTATACCTGATATTATCAAATTTGGAATATTAACACCAGTCTTCAAAAATAAAGGCAACAAGAATGACGCAAAAAATTATAGAGGCATCACAATAACTCCAACTCTATCAAAAATCATAGAAACTGTACTTAAATTTCGCATCAACCCCAAAATTATCTGTCTACAAAATCCACTCCAGCGAGGCTTTACCAAAAACGCATCTCCTTTATATTGCTCATTAATTATGGAGGAATTTCAACGAGAGAACAAAGATCTGAAAAGAGAAACAATATTTGTCATGCTAGATGCTAAGGCAGCCTTTGACGTAGTAAAACACTCAAGCCTTATACGTAAATTATTTCATATGGGACTCACACCGCAAGAAATACTCATGATTGATGATCTATATAAAAATGCAAAATCCAGTGTCAAATGGAACGGTGAACAATCCAATGCCATTCAATATTGAACAAGGTGTTCGACAAGGCGGTACACTTAGTGCCGACCTTTACAAAGTTTATGTAAACGATCTATTAAACGAAATATGTAACACCGATTTTGGGGGACATATTGGAACGATCAACTGTAGTGCGCCTACTTGCGCTGATGATCTTACCATAACAAGTAACTCTCAGTTCGAAGCGCAAATACTAGTCAACATAGCTAACGACTACACCAAAAGAGAATCATATATTATACAACCTACTAAAAGCGTTGTACTACCTATACAAACCAACACCATCACCCACAATGATATGACACTCCTTATGGATGAGAGGGAAATGCCTACGGTTGATAAAACCACACATATTGGGATACAAAGATCAAACTGTAACACACAACTAGTAACAGCGGAGGAAAATATTAAGAAGGCAAGAAGAGCATTATACAGTTTAATGGCAAGTGGCTTGCATGGAGAAAATGGACTAGACCCATCTACATCTATATCCACTTTCAGAACCTATGTTATGCCCATCCTACTATATGGACTGGATGTTATAATGACCAACAGCAAATCTTTGAAAATATTACAATCTTTCTACAAGAAAATGATTAAACAAATCTTATCTTTACCAATATCAACTGCAGACCCAGCTATATATTTATTATCTGGATTACTACCCATAAATGCTGAAATAGATATTAAAATTATTACATTACTTGGAAATATTCTATGTTCTGACAAATCAATCGTTGAATGGAAAATCGCCAATCGTCAATTAAAAATTAAATCGTGCAAAAGCAACAGCTGGTTCATAGATGCAAAGAAAATCTGTATTAAATACCAACTAACAGATCCTGTAGAATTTTTGGATACTGTAACAACTAAAGAAACATGGAAAAAAAGCATGGTCAACAAAATTAAAACATACTGGCATAGAAAGATCTTGGATGAGAAAGAAAATTTCAATAGCTTACAATACTTAGCTGCAATATACAGACTTGGTCATTGTCATCCGTTGGTCAGTATATCCACTTCTGACCCTAAACTAGTACAAAAATTGCCACCGCGAGTGAAAATCGCTACAGGAGGATACATCCTACAATCCCAAAGAGCCAAATATAATTCTAATGTAGTGGACCCAACATGTCAACTATGCAAAAATGGAGAAGAATCATTATCTCATTTCCTGCTTACATGTGTAACTTTAGATGCTATAAGAAAACCCATATTAGAAAGAATAATGATAACGGCCAGTAGTCAATAACATAGAACTACTAAGACTGATTTGTGATCCTTACAACTACTGCAATAATAACAACGATCAAATTTTGGATAATATTTCGAAAATTCTTGAACCGCAATGCAGGAAAATGATCCACCTACTCCATACAACAAGATATAGACTACTAGGTTTGGGCAGTAAACAACCGAAAAAGAGAAGGAAAGTTTAAGACTGTTAGTTAAAGTGTTGTGTAAGTGACTCAGCTTAAGACGGTCCAAATTATCAATTCTTATTTAGATAATTTTAGATTTTAAAAATTAACCTATTGCGTATATTATAAACTGACAGTTTGTGTATATAATACTCTGGTGGATGGAACTTTTATTTGTGTGATATTTATATATATTCGTGTTGGTGGTGGATATCACTCCAGCTAGACTTGGAGGTGTGCCTTGACTGGCAGAATTTATTATACAGATTACAGAGATTGATTCACTGACAATTCAACTTTGAGTAGTTTATCTCAATTCCCCAAAAATATCGGAAATAAATTTTATAATCAACAAAACAAGTGGATCATCCGTGTTTTTATCAGAAATGTGTTTGTCTGGTATTTATCCGCCCATGAGCAGTAAATATGTATTGAGGGCCAGTTTATCACAAATTTTATGAAAGGAAAAGGTTATCTCTTTATTAATAGACCACTTATAAAGGAATTCCAGATAATCCAAAAAAAAATTTCAAGTCAGAAATGAGATTTGTAAGCAATAATATGATTATCGTTAGCTTTAGGAACTGTATTATATATCACTAGATATTTTCATAATAAAGGATTTTTCTTTAAAATTTGACATGCAGTGATGATAAGTACAGTTCCTATGAATAAAATAGCAGACGAAATATTCACAGAAGTGACAATTATGGAAGTAAATGGGAGTGGGCGGGTTTACCGGTCGGGCGGAATTACCAGACACTACTGTAAGGATACATTGAAGGAAAACTAAAGATGAAGTGATAGAACCTCACTAATATGAATTAAGGATACATTGAAGGAAGCTTGTTTCTGTACTGGTTAAGTAGTGCAGTACAAATGTACATTCAAAGAAGCTAGTTTCTTTACTGGTGAAGGAGTGCAGTATATTGAAGGAAGCTAGTTTCTGTACTGGTGAAGGAGTGCAGTACAATGGAAGAAAGCTAGTTTCTGGACTGGTGAAGGAGTGCAGTACATTGAAGGAAGCTAGTTACTGTACTAGTGAAGGAGGGCAGTACATTGGTAGAAGCTAGTTTCTGTACAGGTGAAGGAGTGCAGTACATTGGAAGAAGCTAGATGAACAAAATCTTTGGACTTGACAGTAGTTCTTGCTATCACTTTTGTTATTCTTGATGGTATTCCAATTGAAATGCTTGTATTTGTAAAAGTCTGAATTACCAAAACTGTAGTAAGGAACCTTACATACAACATTTTTGTCCCCTGCGAACGCTTTGCGGGGGACATAGACATACCGGGCGTCCGTCCGTGTGTCCGTCCGTCCGGTCTTGCTAGCGCTCTCACAGGTACAATTCTTGCCAGATTTTTATAAAACTTATACTATAGGTTAATATCAGTAATATCTTGGACAGGCCGGTCGACTTTTTTTTTGAAAGAGTTATATATATATACGCCCCTTAGAAATATTAAATTTATGGAAAATGGCCTCGTTAGCGCTCTCACGGGTTCAATTCTTGCCAGATTTTTATAAAACTTATATACTATAGGTTAACATCAGCATATCTCGGACAAGTTCTGTAATGGTGAGTCTGACCAATCGACTTTTTTTAGAAGAGTTACAAAATGTATGCTCCTTGGAAATATTAAATTTATGGAAAATGGCCTCGTTAGCGCTCTCACAGGTACAATTCTTGCCAGATTTTTATAAAACTTATACTATAGGTTAATATCAGCAATATCTCGGACAACTTATATAATGGTGGCCGATCGACTTTTTTAAAAGAGTTATGCCCCTTGGAAAAATGGCCTCATTAGGGCTCTCACGGGTGCAATTCTTGCTAGATTTTTATAAAACTTATACTATAGGTTAATATCAGCAATATCTCATACAAGTTCTATAATGGTGGCCGATCGACTTTTTTTAAAAGAGTTATGCCCCTTGGGAATATTATATTTATGGAAAATAGCCTCGTTAGTCATGTTAGTGCTGTCACGGGTACAATTCTTGCCAGATCTTTATACGACCGCAAAATTTTTTTTGAGTCGTATAATGCTATCATGTCGTCGTCTGAGTCGTCCGAAGACGCATTTAGTTACGGACAATAACTTTAGTTTAAGTGAATGGATCTCTATAAATTTTTACCAGAAGGTTCAATACTACTAAAGGAAGGTCTGAGATTTTAAGGGTTATGGTACCAACAGTTAAGGAATTAGGGGCCAAAAAGAGGCCAAAAATAAGCATTTTTGTAACTTCCAGACAGTAACTTGTGTGTTAGTGTATGGATCTCTCTGACATTGTACCACAAGGTTCCATATCACAAAGGGAATGCTGGGATTGATTTTGGGGGTAATTGCCTCAAAATTTTAGGAATTAGGGGCAAAAAAAGGGACTAAAAACAACAAGCATTTTTCTAGTTTCATGACAATAACTTGTGTTTAAGTGTATGGATCTTTCTGAAATTGTACCAACTTGTGTTTAAGTGTATGGATCTTTCTGAAATTGTACTGCAAGGTTCCATATCACTAAGGGAAAGCTGGAATTGAGTTTGGGGGTAATTGCCCAAAACGTTTAGGAATTAGGGGCCAAAAATAAGCATTTTTCTAGTTTCCAGACAATAACTTGTGTTCAAGTGTATGGATCTCTCTGAAATTGTACTGCTATGGTACCATATCACAAAGGGAAGGCTGGGATTGATTTTGGGGGAAATTGCCTCAAAATTTTAGGAATTAGGGGCCAAAAAAGGGTAAAAAAACAAGCATTTTTCTAGTTTCAGGACAATAACTTGTGTGTAAGTGTATGGATCTTTATGAAATTGTACTATAAGGTTCCATATCACATAGGGAAAGCTGGGTTTGAGTTTGGGGGGTAATTGTCCTAAACATTTAGGAATTTGGGGCCAAAAAACAAGCATTTTTCTAGTTTCCAGACAATAACTTGTGTTCAAGTGTATGGATCTCTCTGAAATTGTACTGCAAGGTACCATACCACAAAGGGAAGGCTGGGATTGAGTTTGGGGGTGATGAATCGTAAGGGGGTTCAAAAAATTGGGGGGGGGGGATTTTTTTTTCCTTTTTTTTTCTTTTAAAATTTTCCATTTTAAGTTGGTTATTTCTGATTTATATATAAAAGCAAATAATGATATGGTTTGAATAGGTAAATTATAATTTTTTTAAGTTCTTAGACCACATTCATTCTGTGTCAGAAACCTATGCTGTGTCAAGTTTTTAATCACAATCCAAATTCAGAGCTGTATCAAGCTTGAATGTTGTGTCCATACTTGCCCCAACTGTTCAGGGTTCGACCTCTGCGGTCGTATCAAGCTGCGCCCAGCGGAGCATTTTATTTTAAAACTTATAGTATATTATAATTTGTTTTAAAGAACCAAAAATAAGAGTTTTCTAGTTATTGCCCTTGTACCTTGGATAGATAAAATATGTGCAACAATTTCAAAAACATTTTAGATATATCAAAACAGATATTAAATTTCTTGCAATTTTATACAATTACATAAATATTTTTACTCTGTTATTATTTTTAAGCTGAATATTTCCATTCATTAATCAGTGTTATAAAATAATTATAATAAGTATTTGGCTATTTTTAGCTTAGAGATGGCAGCTAATCGACCAAGGAGACATAAACCAGAGATACCTACTCTTTACCATGATAATGACAAGTGGAGCCTTATAGAGAAAAGAAGATACCAAAGAGCTTTGTTGAAGTACAAATCACTTTATTTCTTAATAATTATTTATAGATGCATATTGTAGTTAAAAAAAATAATTAAAGAGACAGTTTACATTACACAAGTTATGTTTTGAGGTGAAAACTGAAAATTTGTTAAAAAAATATGTTTGTGTCAATTTTAGGACTCTTTATAAGGGTAATTCAGAGCAAACCCCTTTTTTTTGTCACATGTTCACAAATATAAAAATCAATACCAGTAATTACTTTAATGTTACTTCAATATTCAAATTGGATTCATTTCATTTGTACTTTTTTTCTGAAAAAAATATGTTTGTGTCAATTTTAGGACTCTTATAAGGGTAATTAAGAGCAAACCACTTTTTTATGGTCATATGTTCACAAATACAAAAATCAATAATTAATTTAATTTTACTTCAATATTCAAATTGGATTCAATTCATTTGCACTTTTTTCTGAAGATTTTTTAAGTAGAGTTATTACACTTTTAAAAGTGAGTAATGGATTTCTATTAAGAGTTGATGAGGCACAGAAGGGGTAATTGTTATAATATAATTCTTTGCAAATTTTAAATATTATTGACTTTAAACCCATTGATAAATGAATAAATAATTGATCAATAATCTATAAATAGTTGGGATTACTGAAAAACAAATTTATTTTTTGAAGATGAAATATTTATATTTAAAATTGAGAATGGAAAAGAGGAATATGTCAAAGAGACAACAACCTGACCAAAGAGCAGATAACAGCCAAAGGCCACCAATGGGTCTTCAACGCAGCGAGAAAATCCCGCACCCGGAGGTGGTCCTCAGCTGGCCCCTAAATAAAATTATGTACTTGTTCAGTGAAAATGGACGTCACACTAAACTCCAAAACATATAAAGGAACTAAAATTAAAAAAAACATACAAGACTAACAAAGGCCAGAGGCTCCTGACTTGGGACAGGCACAAAAATGCGGCGGGGTTAAACATGTTTTGTGAGATCTCAACCCTCCCCTATACCTCTAGCCAATGTAGAATAAAGAAACACATAGCAATACGCATAGTAAAACTCAGTTTAAAAGAAATCCGAATCCGATGTCAGAATAGGTAACAAAAGAAACTAAGCAAAATGACAATGATACATAAATTAACAAAGGACTACTAGTCAGTTACTGACATGCCAGCTCCAGATCTCAATTAAACTGATTGAAAGATTATGTCTTCATCATTTGAAAATCAGGTACAATCCCTCCCGTTAGGGGTTTAGTATCATACCATCATAAAATATATGAGAAGAACATAACCCGTATCATGCCAACAACTGGTTTTAGATAAATGTTTATTTCCGATGCAAAGACCCTATGAGTGAATCAATATTAATACCAAAATATGCAATCCTTAATGACCTGACAACAGTATCGTAACTATATCCCTTCCGAATAAGTCTGTTTAAAGATTTGGTTAGCTTTTGAGATGAATGCCGACATTTTTGTGCTTTGTAAAGAATATTACCATAAAATATTGGATGTGAAATACCTGAACGTATAAGATGTCTGCATGTTGATTTATATTTACGAATGATGTCCTTGTACCGATGATAAAATTTAGTAAATGTTTTGACTAGTTTGTGATATCGAAAACCCTGGTGTAATAATTTTTCAGTAATAAAGAGATTTCTTTCGCTGAAATCAAATACGTTGTTACATACACGAGCGAATCGAACAAGTTGTTATGTGATATTGATATTGTGTTGTAGGTATAGTCCTCTAGAAGTAGAAAAAATTTCTAAATGTGTTCAAACCAAAAGTGCAAAGGAGGTGAGTTAGATAATATATAATACAAATTTTCAATTTACCAATTTTGCAACCATTTTTAACAGAGTAAGACGAAGTCCAAAACTGGCTTTTAGTATGTTGATGTTGGGCGGGGAAAAGTGGGTACCTAATTTGTGTAATCAACTCAAGTTCTCAACCAAGAACCCTGAAACTTCACAGGAAGATTGCCCATATGTTGAAATTGTGCACCTGCTATTATGGAATTTTTATGTTTCATATTTTAAATATTTAAATGTTCAGTATTGAGCATTCTCCATTGTTTAAGAAACATTCTGGGCAACCTGGCCATTTTAGTCTTTGATCTATTTTTATATAGCTGTAACAATGTTATTGTGCATGTTTTACTTTACTTATTGTTTGTTTTAAATGTACATAGATAACTTGCAAAATGATGGAAAAAATCTTTGTAAAGTTTTGAAAAACTAGATTGTTTTTTTAGAGAGCAAGTGTAACCCAACATGACCATATTTGTATCCTTTTGTTTAGTTTGCTTTTGTAGACATGAAGTTTAAAGTTTCAACTTTGGCCCACATCTACAAATGTACAAATATTGTAAACTTATGCTATATAAAAACTTGACATGTTGTCATTGATAAAATGGCTGTCATCATTCTGCAAATATGTCAGTATTTTTGTTTAGAAAATTAAGACACCTTGAGTAAAATGTTCAAACTACAAATTTACATTTAAAATTTTACATTTTTGATTCAAAATGACAAATAGACAGATGGATGGAACAATATTGAATATCCATCGACCTCTAACAAAGTAAGGGCAACTGATATAGATCACATTTATTTCTGTAGGTAAAGGCATATTTAGAACTAATGGAGAAGAAAGTAAAGAAAAAAGGTAAGTTTTTATTGACTTGTAATTTTGAATAATATATATCCAGGAATTGACATAAAAAATTTTGAAGGCATATATGTTATTCCATGTTCGGTATTGGATTTTTGTCCACAGGTTTTGGTAGTACAGCTTATTTCCATATTTGACAATTATGGTATTTGAAGGAATTAGGAAAATTTCCTCCCTGATAAATTAAGAACATGATATATTATTATTGAATGTACTAATTTGGTCAGGATATTTAATGATTCCTTAGATTAAAATCAGGTACTTAGCAGGGATCTCAATGACCTGTTTTATCTTCCGCCATCGTCAAATGATCCCCGCCATTGTTAAATTATCTTCCGCCCTCGTCAAATGATCCCTGCCATTGTCAAAATTTGTGATCATTTCACTAGCAGCCACCATTTTTGTTAGCAATTATAATCAATTGCATGTAATTGCATAACCCTTATTGAATTATAATCCAAAGGGTCCTCCTGATTACAGTTTTAAAGCCTTGAGGGATATCCGGTTAAAGATCGCTAATCACTTGTACAGGTAAATCGACACACCTGATAGAACACTTGATCAAAATAGATGATTGATTGCATTATTAGTACCCTACTGACGAAGTCGAGTTGTTTGCACTCCATCCGTCAGTCCGTCTGTCTGTCTGTCTGTCCATCCGTCAGTCCGGCAAATCAATTTTCCACACTTTTTTTCTTCGTGCTTGAAGATATTGATTTGATATTTGGTGTATTGTTTTATCATGACAAGTTACAGATCAAGTTCGAATTTTGTTCCAGTCTGACGATTTTGTGCTGAGTTTTGGTCCTTGAACTTAGAAAATTCACTCAAATAATCAGTTTTCCGCATTTTTTTTTGTCATGTTTGAAGATAATGATTTGATGATTGGTATATAGTTTTATCATGACAAGTTACAGATCAAGTTCGAATTTTGGTCTGGTCTAATGATTTTGTGTAGAGTTATGGTCCTTGGACATAGAAAATTCACTCAAATAATCAGTTTTCCTTAATTTTTTTCGTCATACTTGAAGATATTGAGGTGATATTTGTTATATAGTTTACACCATGACAGTTTATAGATCAAGTTAGCATTTTGTTCCAGTACAATGAATTTTTAACCGGTAGGGGACTATGTATTGCCAGGCAATACTCACAAAATGCTTGTTTAATTATGTTTCAGCAATGCTAATGAAAATTTAGGTTACAAAATCAATTTTAAATCCAGTTACAAAGAAAGTTTTTACAAGTCAAACACATTCTTTTATACTGACCTACGCAATCAGCATCCCCCTTATTAAACAAGTACAAAATAAGATGTAATACAGAACACAATTTCATGCCAAATAACACGAGTACAGCAATTATTGATGATATTGAATAACTTTACAAGTTTAAAAGTAAATACATGAATATAAGCTGCAACATGATAATCTGAAGAAGTATTGTATCGTAATTCAGAATTCATTCCATAGTTTACAATCAAGTTAATACATCCTGTTTACATTCAGAATCTAAAAATGCATGTTGCATAGTCTTTTACAATGAAATTTGCAATTTATAGTCATTAAAACCATTTAGGTTGTAAACGTTTGCCTGCTAAATTTTTCTTCAACATTTTTCAAAACAGGTACGAAACTTCTTGTTGTTGATGCTGCAAATCGTCGATACCGGTTCATGACTTCTGAATTTTACAGTGAAAAAGGATCCCCCCTCCCCCTGATTTTTAAATCCTAAACAATTACCAAAATATCAAGAAAACGACTTGGGAACCTTAAGGACAGTTTGTGGTCATTCTTGACTAAGGGGGAGCCATGCAGGCTTGACATTGGAATTGTTACAAATGACGATTAATGAAAATATTGGTTATACTATAATGAAAGAAATATAATTAGATATATATATCAGTCTATTCATCATTCCTTACATAGAAATGGAGGAATGAAATACTTTCGATCACGCCATGCCATTGATGCGGGGTTTTGTCATGGTGAGAGTTCCTCCATCGTTAAATTTTTATCCGTGGAGATCCCTGACTTAGACTAAATAATTTCACTTCAAATTTTGAATGTTACAATGCTGTCATTTACGATGAAATGGAATCATGATCAGAAAAATAAAAATTTGGATTAACTTTTAATCCAAATCAGGATTGTAGTCCTTTGGAAAAGTTTAAAATTTGGATAAAAAAATTCTTATAGATTTAACAAACCTTGTTTTTGGGCTAATTTCATGAACATGATCATACATTTAGGGCAAGAGTTTACAGTCAGTTAATTCACACCTAAATCTTGTAAGTTGGCAGGTATGTGTATGTCACGTATCTAGGTCAGGTATGTGTATGTCAGGTATGTGTATGTCAGGTATGTGTTTGTCAGGTATGTGTATGTCAGGTATGTGTATGTCAGATATGTGTATGTCCGGTATGTGTATGTCAGGTATGTGTATGTCATATATGTATATGTCAGGTATGTGTATGTCAGGTAAGTGTATGTCAGATATGTGTTTATCTGGTATGTGTATGTCAGGTATGTGTATGTCAGATATGTATATGTCAGTCATGTGTATGTTACTAATTTCAGTGCACACAATAATTCCTAGGGTTAGCTTTATCATGTATGCTTGAGATGAAAATTTTGGGAATCCTAATTACATGTAATCAACATCAAAACCAAATGGGACTGAAGATTTCAACAAAATCATCTATAGTCCTACAACCAAATGTAAGCAGAAGTTCAACAGATCACTGCCATTCCAGCAGTCCATAAACTGTTGGCCCAAAAAGAATACCATTAAAAAATGATTTAGGAACTATTTTAACAGCTTTATGAAATTGCCACTGTTTTGTTTTTATTATTCATAAAAAAATTCTAATAAAATAATAAGTTTAATTATTTTTTTATTTCCAGCGCAAGAAAGACCAAAAGAAGCAACAGAGGTATGTTAAAAGTTTATATGTATGTTCAAGACCAAAAACTCAGGAATTTAGAAAGCATATACTAGTAGTGGACATCAACATGATTTAAAATAGTCTAATGTTAAATTGCGTCCTTAGTTTTAGTCCAATTACATAATTAAGGAACTGATTTTTTTACAATGACAATGTATCATTTAAATCATGTCAGTGCTAAAGCTTTGTTTTTTAAGGGAATAATACTCTCAGGGATAAACTTATAATACCTTCTTCAAAACGCATGTATCTTGAATAAATTTTAAGCTCGATACCACTAGTTTTGAGAAGACAATTATGTGCCACATTTGGAACTTCAAATCCTTGTAGGAATAATCAGAGCAGTTCAAACTGTCTACGGACTGCTTTGCCGCAGGGAGTTGGTACCCAAGTTTTTGTTATTTCGCATAATTTAGTGACCTTAACATGTTACATTTATTTCAGCTGTGGGGTACTTTAGCTTCAGACTTAGTATCATGTGAATTGAAGGATTATAGTGAAGCTTTATCACAGGTATGTCAAAATAGTTAACGGTAGACCATATGAAATAAATCTTAGTCACTGTCACACACAAAAAATTTGCTCCTGGCTTTACATATTTAGTAATAAAATGAAAGCATCCATCCTGTAGAAAGAAAAAAGAAGAAAGAGAACAAGAAATGAATCACTTGTAAACAAACAAAAAATCATTCATGGAAAAACAGTACTTACATAATTTTATATGCAATGAATCTTGTGTTAACTGAACTAATTCTGCACTTGGATTGTTGTATCAAGACATACAATAAAATGGAAAAGAACATTTATAGTGTATCCATTCATGACACATATTCTATATTTGTACTTGACAAAATCAGAAGCAAATTAAAAGCAGTTTTATTGCTGTTCTTGGTCTCGTCGCAGTAATGCCTAAAAACATTGAACAATAGGTCTAACTTCACTGCATATCCCAAATGACCTCTAGCATAGTTTTGAACAGAATTCTTTGCTATAGGTCAATCACGCTACAACTGTGCATATTCATTTTTGTCGAGCCTGGGAGTTTTGTCGCAAAAGCGAGACATAGCGATCCTACATTCTGTCGGCGGCATCCACAAATATTCACTCTGTGGTTAAAGTTTTTGAAATTTTAATAACTTTCTTAAACTATCCTGGATTTATACCAAACTTGGACAGAAGCTTGTTTATGATCATAAGATAGTATCCAGAAGTAAATTTTGTAAAAAAAAAATCCTGTTTTTCCGTATTTTACTCATAAATGGACTTAGTTTTTCTGCCAGTTAACATTACATTCACTCTGTGGTTAAAGTTTTAAAAATTTTAATAACTTTCTTAAACTATCCTGGATTTGTACCAAACTTGGACAGAAGCTTGTTTATGATCAAAAGCTAGTATCTAGAAGGAAATTTTGTAAAAATTTATTTCCTGTTTTTCCGTATATTACTTATAAATGGACTTAGTTTTTCTTCCAGTTAACATTACATACAGTCTGCAGTTAGAGTTTTTAAAACATTTATTAGATTCATAAACCATCCTGGATTTTTACCAAACTTGGACAGAAGCTTCTTACAATCAAAAGATAGTATCTAGAGTAAAATTTTTAATAATTTTTTCCATATTTTGGTTGAGCCTACGACTTTTGTCGCAAAAGCAAGACATAGCGATCCTACATCAGTCGTCGTCTGAATTAAGGGATAAATCATCAAGCAATGTAAAAATTATCTTCTTTATCATTTGTTCATTCAATAAATTTATGTTTCAACTCTTTTATAAATCTATAGATTTGATTGCATACTGTATTCATTTTTTACAAGCATAACTTTTTTCATACATTTCAAACGTTTTATTTCATAAACTGTAAATCTATTATGTGCATTCCCCTATCACACTGATAACATAGACAACAGCAAAAGAAAGCGAGACACTGGGTTCCGCAGAACCCTTTTGAATTTTTATACGACCGCAAAAAAAATTTGTGGTCGTATATTGGTATGGCGTTGACGTCGTCGACGTCGTCTGAAGACACATTGGTTTTCGCACTCTAACTTTAGTTTAAGTGAATGGATCTCTATGAAATTTTACCATAAGGTTCAATACCACAAAAGGAAGGTTGGGATTGATTTTGGGGGTTATGGTACCAACAGTTAAGGAATTAGGGGCCAAAAATAAGCATTTTTGTAACTTCCAGACATAACTTGTGTGTTAGTGTATTGATCTCTCTGACATTGTACCACAAGGTTCCATATCACAAAGGGAATGTTTGGATTGATTTTGGGGGTAATTGCCTCAAAATTTTAGGAATTAGGGGCTAAAAAAACAAGCATTTTTCTAGTTTCATGACAATAACTTGTGTGTAAGTCTATGGATCTTTCTGAAATTGTACTACAAGGTTCCATATCACAAAGGGAAAGCTGGGTTTGAGTTTGGGGGTAATTGCCCAAAACGTTTAGGAAAAAGGGGCCAAAAATAAGCATTTTTCTAGTTTCCAGACAATAACTTGTGTTCAAGTGTATGGATCTCTCTGAAATTGTACTGCAAGGTTCCATATCACATAGGGAATTTTTGGATTGATTTTGGGGGTAATTGCCTCAAAATTTTAGGAATTAGGGGCCAAAAAAGGGGCAAAAAACAAGCATTTCTCTAGTTTCATGACAATAACTTGTGTGTAAGTCTATGGATCTTTCTGAAGTTGTACTACAAGGTTCCATATCACAAAGGGAAAGCTGGAATTGAGTTTGGGGGTAATTGCACTAAACATTTAAGAATAAAGGGCCAAAAAGGGTCCACAAATAAGCACTTTTCTAGTTTCCAGACAATAACTTGTGTTCAGGTGTATGGATCTCTCTGAAATTATACTGCAAGGTACCATACCACAAAAGGAAGGCTGGGATTGATTTTGGGGGGTCATTGCCTCAAAATTTTAGGAATAAGGGGCCTAAAAAGGGGCAAAAAACAAGCATTTTTCTAGTTTCAGGACAATAACGTGTGTGTAAGTGAATGGATCTTTATGAAATTGTACTACAAGGTTCCATATCACAAAGGGAAAGCTGGGTTTGAGTTTGGGGGTAATTGCCCTAAATGTTAAGAATATTGGGCCAAAAAGGGGCCAAAAAACAAGCATTTTTCTAGTTTCCAGACAATAACTTGTGTTCAAGTGTATGGATCTCTATGAAATTGTACTGCAAGGTACCATACCACAAAGGGAAGGCTGGGATTGAGTTTGGGGGTGATGAATCATAAGGGGGTTCAAAAAATTTGGGGGGGGATTTTTTTTTCCTTTTTTTTTCTTCAAAATTTTCCATTTTAAATTGGTTATTTCTGATTTATATATAAAAGCAAATAATAATGATATGGTTTGAATAGGTAAATTAAAATTTTTTAAGTTCTTAGACCACATTCATTCTGTGTCAGAAACCTATGCTGTGTCAAATATTTAATCATAATCCAAATTCAGTGCTGTATCAAGCTTGAATGTTGTGTCCATACTTGCCCCAACTGTTCAGGGTTTGACCTCTGCGGTCGTATCAAGCTGCGCCCAGCGGAGCATTTTATTTACTTAAGTAAAGCAAACACTTGTCTTATCAGATCAAAATATTTATCACTGAAGGTGTTTATTTTAGCTAAACTTCACTGTATGAATAATGAAAATTATTTTGTAAAAAATATTGTGGTTATTTCCGTATTTAAAACATTTATACTGAGAAACTCCTGGGGCTTTTGCCAAATTAAGTTTTATCTTCGTAAAATTAATAAATTGTTTTGGCCACATGATCTGAAGTCCAGAATATTTTCAGGTAATGGCTGTAGCAGGAAATTTAGAAAATCCTTACCCACCAGATTCTCCTGATGCTCCAGATTACAGTTCTATTTATAGATACATGTCTGCTATTCTCGCAGGGACCGATTTACCATATTTAGGATATCTTGGTAATATATATATGTTATTGTATAGCCAAGTAGGCTAATTCAACACATTTGCCATTTTGTCACAGTGAGTATTATATGGTTTTCAGGTTTCATACAGGGTATTTAATGTGACATTTCCAGCTGAGGGTTCATATTCCCTGAGCCGGAGGCAAAGGGAGTATAAACCCTCAGCCGGGAATGTCACATTATATTCCCTGTCTTGAACCTGAATAAAACATATATTAAGGATACCCCTCCTTAATGTATCTGACAGTACCAGGTATTTGTTGAACATTCATCATGCAGTATATAGAGAATATCATATGGCTTTTTCAATATCACACCCGTATCAACCAGAGACACCGAGGGATTATATTGGTTGAGGGTTGATACAGGGTGTGATATTGAAAAAGCCATATCATATACACTTTATTATATACTTCAAGATTTTTTTATACGACCGCAAAAATTAAAAAAATTTTGGTCGTATATTGGTATCACGTCATCGTCCGGCGTCGTCGTCGTCAGCGTCGTCCGAAGACAGATGGTTTCCGGATAATAACTTTAGTATAAGTAAATAGAAATCAATAAAATTTTAACACAAGGTTTATAACCACTAAAGGAAGGTTGGGATTGATTTTGGGGGTTATGGTCCCAACTGGTTAGGAATTAGGGGCCAAAAAGGGGCCCAAATAAGCATTTTTGTAGTTTCCAGACAATAACTTGTGTTAAAGTGTATGAATCTCTCTGAAATTATACCACAAGTTTCCATACTACAAAGGGATGGTTAGGAATGACTTTGGGGGATTATGGTTCAAACCAATTAGTAACTAGGGGTAAAAAAAGGGGAAAAACAAGGGTTTTTCTGGTTAAAGGACAATTGAGACAATTTAAAAGCAGTGTAAGGGAGGTAATCCAAATCAATTAAAAGAACACTGTTTGATTACCTCCCTTACACTGCTTGTAAATTATGTATTAAGAAATGATGATTGTCTTGAGGTGATTAGCTGTCAATTTATTTTTAGCAGTTACTATTAATTAATATTAATTTCAGCCATGACTATGTATGTCATTTTATATTTTAAAACTTTTATGATGTATTTAAATGGGTAATTATGGTTGCAAACTCCATTAGAAATTTGAATTAAGCCTTTACAACTGTGACTGATATCGATGACATGACGTCGTAGAGTTTAGGGGTTTGATAAAGCTTTTGCAACCATGACTGATATCGATATCATCACGGATGGCTGATACAGCACGATTGCCATTGATTGTATTATACATACAGTTTACCTAAGTATATAATAATGGTATTTAGAACACATTTCTGTATATTTTGTGTCATTTGCCTAAAAAGCACTTTTTACCATCTTGACAAATAGATTTTTTTAACGTAAGAAATATTTTTTAATATAAAGTATTTAGTTTTCATATTCACTGTTTGTATTCCCGGTAGGTGACTTTTTATGCTTTTTGACCGACAGAAATATTGATAAATCCAACCTGATATATTTTTAGTGAAAGATTTTATAATTTGCAATCATTTATCATGTATGCAATACTTTCTTATAATACTTTTAGCAATTTACTTAGTATTTGGTGAGAAAATAGCGTGATTTTAAATAAAAAATGTATATTTGAATGATAATCATCATTTTTTTCCCTCTAAAAACGTCATATATAGCCTGGCTGTTTCCAGAATATATACTAACATCTCTGTGTAGTTATCCAATCACAAAACTTGACACATTTGTAATCTGTAATATATTTCATTACAAATTATCATTTTGCATGAAACCATTAATTTGGTTAAAAGTGAAGTGGGAAAGAACCATCAGTACATGAACTATATTTACTGGAAAAAAATTACCTAAGGCAAGAAAAAAATCTTCGAAAGATACCAGTCATATAATTTTGTATGCCAGTTCAATTTTAACACAATGTTATGAAAAATAAGCAGGATTATCCATGTTATCTGTTATCACTAGATCACCTAGTTCTGGGTTTGAAAAGAAAAGACTTTACAGAGATCATGCATCACACAGTTAATAAAAATACTTGTTGTTTGTTTTGTAGAATGTAGTATTGTTCAAGATCTACTTCATGGTTTGGTGGATACAATCAGAACATCTGATACAAGTAAACAGCAGGAGATTATGATTAACAAATATCATCTATTGACCAGTAAAATAGATATCAACAACACTATGCTTAATGTAAAGAGGTGTCGTAAAGCTGTCAATAATGGTATGGGTTATTCCATTATATTAAATGGGGGAGGGTAGGAAGGGATTTTTTATTTTTGGACATTAGTGCTTTCTGCAATACTCAATTTAGTTATTGTAAACATTTCAATACGTAAACCATGGGGGTGTCATGTGCTCCTGGTGCGGCTGTTTACTATGATAGGTGTAGATTGACATATGGGTCATTTTTAAAAAATGTTGAATTTTCAGTACACCTATGCTATTCTTTTTATTTTTAATGAAAAATGCAGTTGCAAGTGTTTAAATGACAGTGTGTATGATTTATGAGTCAAAACATCAATAATAAGCACGATTTAGATCTATTTTGATAAGATTAAAATATATTCAAGTCAGATTTTTGCGTAATTTATGTGCGTACAGTATCAGTGTAACACATTTCAAATGATTTTTTCCTGTTTTCTGATTGCCTTGAAATCTGCAGAGAACTATTTTACGACGTTTATGATAACTCTTACAAAAAATCACAGTTTATTATTATATGTAACATTTTTTCTACAAACTAAATTCAATCCGCGTACATGAAATGCATGTTTATCCTGTTATTGCTACTAGATCGACCTTTAAATTGTTTCTCCCTATTTATATGGAACTATTTAGTGATGATTTCAAAAGCACTAAGCATCCTTAGAATTGAACACAGCACATTTCTTGCATATCATTGTAAAGAAAATACACGACGTTTAGTGAAAAAAAAGTGGGTATCCTTGTATCCTGTTTCCAACCAATTTATTAATTGCAACAATATTATTCTTGTCAAAAGTGCAAATACATGTTGGAAATCAAGACCATAAAAGAAAAACATATTATCACTGCCTACAAGGGAGAAGTTATTTCACAACAGTATTCATAAATATTAAAATTTGTCTATCCTGTTACTATGGTTACTATGGTTACAATAACAGGGTAGACAATATTTGATTGAAACGACTACAAAAAGTATATAATTACATATATATTTTACAAATAATGAAATGTTTTGTTATTTGAACTCATTTAAAGGTAACAACATCTTTATCTTTGCAGTTTAGCACACACAAAATGCAATACTGCTATCAGTAACAGGATAGACAAAATGGATAACAGGATAGAACTTAATTTGGTGATATATTGTTAACATACATTCCTGTTACCAAAAACAAAATCACAAAAGTAAAACAAAATGCGAGGGAATAACTTGATGTTGGGTTTATTAGAAAGAGAAAAAAATACTGAACATTATGAATTGCTATCTTAGACTTACGTTGCTGATGGTTATTTTTATAACCATTGAAAACCAATTTTTAGAGGTATTTTTTCAGTACACCAAGGAAAATTGACGAACAATCTATCAATACTCAGAATGAAAATGTATAGAAGTTTTGTTCTTGAAAACAACCTCATTGCCAATGAAAAACAAGCTTTAAATTTTATCCAGACCTTTTCTAAATAGCCAAAAATTCCTTTGAACATGGTAACAGGAAAGACAAAATATTCCACCACCTGTCGAAAAATGTTTCCATATATTCTTGTATGACACGAGTAAGGTTGCATTTTTTATATGTTGTTTCAAAAGTATTATAGTGTACTTGTTTTGATATGCTTATCAAGAGGGCTGTTTAAACTAGTAACTTTTATTCATATTGCAATTTCAAAGTTCAACTTTTTTTTTTTAAATGACCCATATCACACAATTCTGGAGCAAATTTAAGTAATCAGCTACATGTACCATGATTATTCTGTTCACAATTTCAGATTTTTCTGACTTTGAAAAAGCTGGGAATGATGCACACAGGCCCAGATCTCCCATACTTATAGACGAGAGCGTACCAGTTTATAAAAAAAAGAAAGAAGAGAGCACACCAGTCAATAAAAGAAAGAGAGGTAGACCAGTGAAAAGAATATCTACCTCATCTGAAACTGTACCTGCAGACAAGGAACCAGAAGACCAGTTGTCTACAAGTCAGGATAAAGAATCAAATAGAACAGACAAAATTTCTGACACTCCAGGAAAAAAAGGATTGAGAAAAGATTCTAGTCCTCTGCCTGGTCCATCAGGAGATGGCTCGGGTACAGATAAAAGTCAATATCCAAATTTAAAGATGCAGAATAAATCTGATCAAAAGGTTACCGAAACTCAAAAAAGTGCTACAAAAAGAGGTCAGTCAGCAAAAGCTACCACTAACGCTGAGGGTGACAGTTCTAAAGAGAAATCTTTACCACCCAGTATCAGTCAAAAACAGCCTGGACCGTCAGTTGAAACAACATTTAGTTCTTTAGCACCCAATGAAAATGGTCAAGATGAAGTAGATGGAAGTCAAAATGAAGATATTCCAAAGAAGCCTTCATTGTTTACATTGAATCCATTTTGTATTCCAATAGACTTAATTAGATTTAATCCTTTGGTTTCACCAACAGTTGTCTTTAACCAAGTAAAAAAGAATTTAACACAGATTCCAGGTATTGTACCAAAAACACAAAGGAATGAAAGACAGCAGAAGGATGGAGAGGTGGATGTAATTTGTATGAATGAGAAAAAACACATTATTGGTAGAGAAAAATTCATCTCTATAGTTCGTACTAGCATGAATGATGACGACTGAAAATATAAGTCAAAAAGAAAAGTTAAATGCAAAAAAAAAAATGCCTTTAATGTTCAGGATCATGTCTTTTCTCAACTGTAATAAAGATTTTGAAAAATGACCTTATTCTGGTTTGATTGATTTGTCTGATACTATGCTTATAGGCAACAGGTTGAATATAAAGAGCATGTGTGTTCGTTAGTACATAAATTGGAGACAAATCTTGGTATAACAAAACAAGGAATTCTAGAACAAAGCAATTATCAATTATCAGCTTCTTGCGGTTGAATCATTTATTGGGTATATCAGTGGTTGCAAATAGAAGTATATTTATTGTGTATTCATTATTATTCATAGGGTACCAATTTTCGCAGATATGGTGGGTTTATAGGTAAACCATAAATTTTAATGTTCTACTAAATTGTAAATGTTCTATAAACTTGCATGCAGGCTATGGCACGAATCTAATATACAATGTTTCCTCAATTCATGAATATTGGTAATGGTAAAGCATTAATGAATCCACAGTACATGCCTCCAGGACAGCAGTAAATTAACAAAGTTTCACCTATTAAACTATACTATAGATCCGTGTCCTGATTATATACAAATATGTCAGGGTCCTTTGATACTATAGATCCTTTTCCTGATTATATACAAATATGTCAGGGTCCTTTGATACTATAGATCCTTGTCCTGATTATATACAAATATGTCATGGTGCTTTGATACTATAGATCCTTGTCCTGATTATATACAAATATGTCAGGGTCCTTTGATACTATAGATCCTTGTCCTGATTATATACAAATATGTCAGGGTCCTTTGATACTATAGATCCTTGTCCTGATTATATACAAATATGTCATGGTGCTTTGATACTATAGATCCTTGTCCTGATTATATACAAATATGTCATGGTGCTTTGATACTATAGATCCTTGTCCTGATTATATACAAATATGTCATGGTGCTTTGATACTATAGATCCTTGTCCTGATTATATACAAATATGTCATGGTCCTTTGATGCTATAGATCCTTGTCCTGATTATATACAAATATGTCAGGGTGCTTTGATACTATAGATCCTTGTCCTGATTATATACAAATATGTCAGGGTGCTTTGATACTATAGATCCTTGTCCTGATTATATACAAATATGTCATGGTGCTTTGATTCTTCCTGAATATTAGAATATATATCAAGTTTGAATTTGTCATTTTCATGGTGGACTCCTGTTCATTCATACATGAAATAGACTGCCATTTCAAGTCCTCTTCAAACTAATTACCTCAACTGTTTAAGTAAATCAATGTCATAGCTCCTGACAAAATTTGATTTATTGTTAGTGTCCATCTTTATTTTAGCTCACCTGGTCCAACGAGCCAGTGTATCTTCATTTTGAGGTCTTGATCATCTTTTGTTAATTTTTGTATTGCCTAAACCTTTCAATAGCAGCGGTGGCCTAGTCAACCATTTGTTAAAGTTTGTGATTAGATCAGTTGTGAGGTATCGTCACTAATTGTAATTCACTGATATTTGGTAGGCAGTTATATTAGCATAAGCACATCTTATTCCCTTGGAGATTATTTGGTGTCGCACCCCACCTTGGGTCATTTTCCTGTAATTTTCAGACTTTGCATAGTTTAAGTGGTGCCATTTTATTTTAAAATTTTCATTTTACTATCAACATCACATTCAGGCAAGACATATCTCTTTGTCAAGAGCTTATTTCATCTTTCTGTACATCTTTTTCCATGGAACAAAACTTCGCCTGAATCAGCCTAAGAGAGTCTACTTCCCTTCGACTAAGAGGTAGTTCCTTCCAAAGATGCCACAACTAAAAAGAAGGACATGATGTAACACAGAACTCTATGGGAAAATATAGAGATAAATTATTTAAAATAATTTTACTGAATAGATTAACAATAGTGCTCACACTGAAATGTCTCACCTGCTTTACTGGCCATGATTGATTTTATGTTAAAAGATAAAGGTTCACTACAAGTATCACAATGCTTTTACTACAAGTGTCACATATACTTAATTATTGTAAAGATCCATGACAATGAGACCAAGGTCAGATACATCCTGTCCGACAGACATGCCACACCTTACAATTTTTACATGCAATAAATATAGTTGACCTATCGCTTATAATATATAATAAAAACAAGAAGTAACCTTGAAAAATAAACATTGACAAATGAAAATAAAGCCAAGGTCAGATGAAACCTACCAGACAGACATGTACACTTTACGATCATTCCATACACTAAATATTGCTGACCTATTACTTATAGTATATGAGAAAGAGTATCAACTCACAAAAACTTGAGATTGATCAATGATTCATGAAAATAAGGTCAAGGTCAGATGATACCTCCCAGATAGACATGTACAACTTACTGTCTTTCAATACATCAAACATAAGTTGACCTATTTAGGCTATTACTTGTATAGTATACGAGAAGAGTACCAAAACACAAAAACTTAACATTAACCAATGAATCATAACGAGGTAACTGTCAAATGATACCTGCCAAACAGACATGTACACCTTACAATCATTCCATACACCAAATAAATAGCATTTGAAAAAAAGACCAAACCACAAAAACTTAACATTGACCAATGAACCACGAAAGTGAGGTCAAGGTCAGATGAAACCTGCCAGTCAGATATGTACACCTTACAATTATACCATACACCAAATATAGTTGACCTACTGCTTATAGTATTTAAGAAACTGACCTACTCACGTAACTTTAACATTGATCCATGAAATGAGGTCAAGGTAAGGCGAACCTTGTCCCTGAACATGTAGACCTTGCAAGGAACACATATATTAAATATAGTTATCATATTGATTAATTAATAAGTCAGAAATTCAAATGACAAAAAAACAGGTAAATGAGGTCAAGTGCAATGGACATATGACAAAAGGAAACTTCGTAATATAAGGCATTCATTATCATAGTGGAAGGTATTTTCGATCATCATGCTAGCTGCAACACCATGGAAACATTTCTATAAACTTGCTGTTATGTATATATATAACCGAAAAAAAAGTAAAATAAAAAAATACCGAACTCCAAGGAAAATTCATAACAGAAAGTCCCTTATCAAATGGCAAAATCAAAAGCTCAAACACATCAAACGAATGGAAAACGACTGTCATATTCCTGACTTGGTACAGGCATTTCCTTATGTAGAAAATGGTGGATTAAACCTGGTTTTATAGCTAGCTAAACCTCTCAGTTGTATGACAGTCGCATAAAATTCCATTATATTGACAACAGATCAATAAGGCAATGTCGTTGTTATTGCACAAATAAAAATAGCAAGCTCCTATTATTCTAAATATGAAAATTATAGCAATCTAATCCAAATGTTTGATCCTGGCTTCATTTTTATGCCCCCGCCGTAGCGTTTTACTCTTGTCCATCTGTACGCCCGTCCGTACGTCCCGAAATTGGTTCCGTTCTCTAACTTTAGTTTGCCTCAACCAAATGTTATGAAACTTATACACAATGCTTATGACCACAAAACACAGATCAAGTTTGAATTTGGCATCACTTTTACCTTTTCTAGAGTTATGCCCCTTTACAAATGGAAAAAATGCTGAATTTTTCGTTTCCATTCTCTAACTTCAAGTTTGCCTCAAACAACTGTTATGAATCTTATACACAATGCTTATTACCACAAAACGCAAATCAAGTTTGAATTTTGGTGGCACCACTTTTGCCGTTCTTGAGTTATGCCCCTTTACAAATGGAAACATTGCTGAATTTTTCGTTTCTGTTCTCTACCTTAAGTTTGTCTCAACCAAATGTTATGAAACTTATTCACGACGCTTTTTACCACAACACTTAGATCAAGTACGAATTTGTGTAGCGTTACTTTTACCGTTCTTGAGTTATATCCCTTTATAATGTTATATACAAGCGTGGACATCATCTGTGTCCCATGGACACATTCCCCATTTATTTTACCAAGTTTACCAAGATAATAAACTCCAGCTTGATTTGGCAGTTTTTATATACACCAGTATATCAATTTTCGAAATTGTACGGTAAAAACTATGTTGAACACACTGTACCTGCTACTAGTATTTGTATTTGGTATAACTTGAAGGTCATTATCACACAATGAATTGGCTAAATTTTTTCAGCAAATGATCAGTTTCAAGAAATGAATTCAAATGGAAAATTGGAAGTGTTTGGCCCACTCTTCTTCTGAAATTAGTGCAAAGTACAATGATATAGAAGTAATCCTAACATTGGATAATGAGTCCAAACTGTAGAAAAAAGTTTCAAAAAAAAAATTTTGTTCTGTCCAAAAGTAAGAGGATTGACTGCCTGTAAGTCAGATTAGAATAGTTTCCTGGGTTTTACATTTTCAGTAGCGTAGGGAAAGTTGATGTTGAGGTGACAAGTATGCAATACAAATCACTTACAATATAGAGGTTACAAAAGAATGATAGATTCACAGTAATTAACCCAGAGGAACCCATCCTGTTATTCATAATTTTTCAAAATTTACAAAATTTTCTCAGTTTTTTACTTGTTTGATGACATCATAAGCTCCCTTTATATTACAGCATAACAGTTATTGATATATTCTTTGTCAATACAAGCTCTGTCTGAGAGCAGTGAAGAATTTTGCATCCAAGATTGAAATAATATTTATTCCTGGTGCTTTTAGTATTTCACAATTTACTAGTTAATATGAAGGAAGCAAAACACTTTTGCAGTGCTTAGCCTTGAAATCTATGATCTATGTTTTCAATTGATTTTTAACTTGTTCCAGTTTTGTGCTGTGACACCACTTGTCCCAAGCTAGGGGATGGATCAGCGGCATGTTTAACCCTGCCGCATTCTGTATGTGCCTGTCTCAAGTCGGGAGCCTGTAATTCATTCTATTAGTTTTCTCTAATGAATTGTTTTACATTTGTCATGTCAGGGCCTTTTATGATATGGGTTTTGCTCACTGTTGAAGACCTGTAGATGCTAACTTGTAGAAAGTTGTCTCATTGTCAATCATACCACATCTTCTTATTTTGATATACAGTATTGACAACATAAAATCATCTTAACCTGTAAAATTACAAATTGC